GAACCTTGTCCTCACAACCGGAAACCTTGTCCTCACCGCCAGGATCCTTGTCCTCACCACCAGGAACCTTGTCCTCACCACCAGGAACCTTGCCTTACCGCCAAGAACCTTGTCCTCACCCCCAGACACCTTGTCCTCACCCCCAGGAACCTTGACCTAACCGCCAGGAACCTTGTCCTAACCGCCAGCCGCCAGGAACCTTGTCCTCACCACGAGGAACCTTGTCCTCACGACCAGGAAGCTTGCCTCACGGCCAGGAACTTTTCCTCACCGCCAAGAACTATGTCGTTACCGCCAGGAACCTTGTTCTCACCCCCACAAACCTTGTCCTCACCCCCAGGAACCTAGACCTAACCGGCAGGAACCTTGACCTCACCGCCAGGAACCTTGTCCTCAGCGCCAGGACCCTTGTCCTCACCGCCAGGAACCTTGTCCTCGCCGCCAGGAACCTTGTCCTCACCGCCAGGAACCTTGTCCTCACCGCCAGAAACCTTGTCCTCACAGCCAGGAACTTTGTACTCGCCGCCAGGAACCTTGTCCTCACCGCCAGGAACCTTGTCCTCAGCGCCAGGATCCTTGTCCTCATCGCCAGGAATCTTGTCCTCACCGCCAGGAACCTTCTCCTCGCCGCCAGGAACATTGTCCTCACCGCCAGTAACCTTGTCCTCACCGCCAGGAACCTTGTCCTCACGGCCAGGAACCTTGTCCTCACCGCCAGGAACCTTGTCTCAGCCCCAGAAACCTTGTCCTCACCGCCAGGAACGTTGTTCTCACTTCCAGAAACGTTGTCCTCACCGTCTGGAACCATGTCCTCACCGCCAGGAACCTTGTCCTCAGCACCGGAAACCTTGTCCTCACCGCCAGGATCCTTGTCCTCACCACCAGGAACCTTGTCCTCACCACCAGGAACCTTGTCCTAACGCCAGGAACCTTGTCCTCACGACCAGGAAGCTTGCCTCACGGCCAGGAACTTTGTCCTCACCGCCAAGAACCATGTCGTTACCGCCAGGAACCTTGTCTTCACCCCTAGAAACCTTGTCCTCACCCCCAGGAACCTTGACCTAACCGGCAGGAACCTTGTCCTCACCGCCAGGAACGTTGTCCTCAGCGCCAGGACCCTTGTCCTCACCGCCAGAAACCTTGTCCTCGCCGCCAGGAACCTTGTCCTCACCGCCAGGAACCTTGTCCTCAGCGCCAGAAACCTTGTTCTCACAGCCAGGAACTTTGTACTCGCCGCCAGGAACCTTGTCCTCACCGCCAGGAACCTTGTCCTCAGCGCCAGGAACCTTGTCCTCACCGCCAGGAACCTTGTCCTCACCGCCAGGAACCTTGTCCTCAGCGCCAGGAACCTTGTCCTCAGTGCCAGGAACGTTCGAAGTTAATTCTACCTCGGAACTCTCCGACCGAGTTTGTAAACCGTGTGTGCGAAATATCCGAAATTCAAGCGAACTGATTGCCATAATCAAGCGAGAGATAAACGCATTGCGTGTGAAACCTCGAACAAATAGACAGTTGTATATTAAAAACGTCAGTTGCCAATATGAACTGTCTCGTCTCCCTAACGAGGCCGTGTGGTACGAAAGCCTTAATTTTAAAAAGTTCAGAAAGTGAAGCGGATAATAGGCCTAGGCGTAATAGTCCTGTTATAAACCCTTTGCAAGAAAGACTATACGGCCGTCTGTATCTATTCTCGTTATATTTTCTCGCGCCAACAAGAACAATGTAAAAATCAGGCTTTTCCTATAGAACGGCCAAAACATTCTTGCCAAGGAGTAAATCTTTAACTGCTATCTCTTGCTCGCGTTTGACAATCAGTTCGCGTTTCGACTTTCGAGAAGCGTTCAGTTTTACAACAGCTATTAAAGCGAACGCATGCATCATTAAAGTGTTAAACGTACGTTTACATATTAAAGTGTATTCACTTTTGAGTGATAGCTGCTCAGACTCGCAGCCAATCATCAATTCCCTTCCACTGGTGGATGGGGAATTCGATTACACTGCGAAACCCAGCAGGCGGTCTTTCGCAGGCTTGCCCGATTTTAGGGACCGCCTACCATACAGGCTTGGCTTTATCAGGAACAATCACTCACATAACGTTAACATCTGTGATGTCGCAATGTCAGAGCTTTATGGATAAAAATTATGCCATCCATGGCGATAAAATTTTGAATAGAGCGAGAGAGACATTTGAGTATGGTAATCAAGAAAACAACTGTGATGGTAACAAAGAAACAGATGCATATATAATATTCTCACTCAGACTCTTTAATGAAACCATTTTAATAATACTAATAACAAACTTTGTAATATACGATTTGATTGGCTAATGCGCGTGCATTGTGTCGCAATTATGCACTGTGATCTGTGGCACTGCTTTGCTCTTTCTGTTTTTCCCCTCTTCATCACTGCTTTTTAGACAAAAATATAAATAAAACCACAAATTTTACCAGAAAGCAAGAAGAAATAAACCAAAGGAAGAAAGCAATTTTCTGTAGTTCTACGTGTAAAATTAACCGGCTTGGCAGTCGTCGAATTTGTTGTTATCTCGACAAGTTTTGGGTAAAAGCGTGCAAAATAGCCGAGAAAAAAACTTGAAAAAGATACAGGAAGACCAAATACATACAAAAAGGCAACAAAAACATATGAATATAAGTGATTTAGAAAGTACCTTCAATTCTTCTGATAACAACTGCTACATATATTTTCGCGAAAGACAAAAAATACAATATTAATTTCGAAAAGTATAAGTATAAACATGCACGACGAAACCTACGATAAACCGCCTTTCGTGGCAAATCCAGCAGGCCAGATGCTGAAAAACTTTGTCTGAACAAATTAGTTGAACAAATTAGTCTGTGTATCACTGGGGTTTTTATTTTCACTATTTTAAACAATGTTTCCAACTTTATAGCATCAAAAGTTTGTATATTGTTTTGGCAATTTTGCTCCTTCTCTCGCTTAAAGATGCGGTACAGAAGTTTATTTAGGTTTTTATTTCATTTTATGTTCTTGCAAAGCTGGATTGTTGTCTCTTGATAATTTATTATACTCTAGAATCATGAAAATATTAATAGTTGTCGAATAAAATTCAATATTTTGGATACCGAAATGTAAACAAAGCCTTTGTTTACATACGGACAACACCGCGGAAAAACGTCTGCGCATGCGTCAACCTTACCTGCAATAGTATTGCGAACTTGATGAGAAGCTGTTCCGAACGTTCCGGAAGGCTCAAAATGGCGGTAAAAAGGAGTGACTTCATTGTGCGTCTTTACAGCCAGATTTCAAGCGCAAAAATAAACATGTCATTCTAAAAACTAGAAATAAATACAGCCAGAAGGTTCAAGAAATTGTATTGTACAAGAACATGAACTAAAGGTGATTGTTGACAAATTTATCGTCTGAAACATTTTGTTTTTCAACTAAGCAATGACAATTTCCGAATTTTTGTTTGAGATACATTTCTTTAAAAAAAACTGTGTCGCCAAATATAAAAAATTTGCGTGTTCACAATAATTAAACTTTAGGATTTATTCTACAATTTGAGTGGGTTAAGAAGCTTAACTTTTCGAGAGTTTTCTTAACTTTTGAGTTTGAATTTTTGTTTTGAATAATTTTGCAAAAAATTTCGAAGTCGTGTCCGTTAAAATCAACAATTTTTTACATGAATTATATTTCATTCCATACTTTAAATGCCAGGATGCTTTCAATTAATGTCTAGTCTACCCATTTGCTATATTTTCTCGTTTGTTTTACTAATTTTTGACCAGTTAATAAGCATGTTTTTGTTTTAGAAATTGATATTCAAATTCCCCGCCATATTTTCATAATTCGGTGCATGCGCAGACGTTTTTCCGCGGTGTTCATACGGACTGTACCGCATCTTTAAAAATTCAAGCGACAGTAAAAGCATGCGCGTGACGTCACTGAGTACTTGTTAGGAGAATTTCAACGTCGATCTTTTGAGTAAAATTTTTTACTATGTAATATCTTCTACTTATATTATAAAAGAAATAGAAAAACTCGTCTCGTGCGTTTATAGTGCGATAATGCATTCGGGGAATGTTGGGAGAGTACTCAAGAAGCGTGTAAAATACTCGGCTACGCCTCGTATGTTACACGCTTCCCTCGTATTCTCCCAACATTCCCCACGTGCATTATCACACCACAAACACACGCGACTCGTTTCCTATTTCTTAAATAAACAAATCCCAGTGTAAATGTAAACTCTAGTGATAAGCAATCTCGTTCAGTGTCTTCGATACTATCTGTTCTCGTATGAACACCAAACTATTATCCCACTACATCACATGACATTATGATGACGTCACTACTACAGCATATGTTAGCCCTATTGTGTCAAATGAATTTACAAATCTTGTTATATAGTTAGTGTCAAAGTTCAATTTTTCTGTTTGCCGATTGGTCAAAACCGTATCACGTGCTGGTCCACTAAACGTCATGTTCACTGCATGCTTTGGCGAGGAGGCAACCGGTCAACAATGAAATATTTACTGACCTGTCAACAATAGAATGGGTGCAATGCGCATGCGCGTCAACAATGAAGTTCCAAAGTTCATTTTTTAAAGTTTTTATTAAACGTTTACGGCGTTCCATTTATCCAGTTTTGGTTTCAAATTAAGTTCACTCCAATAATCGGTGAATTATTCATACTTTGACACTTATATGAATAATATGAGCCAGAAAAATATATAACAGGCCGTGTTCCAGTAACAAAAAGCAAACTTAGACTAATTAGTGGGCGTTTTTGCAATTGGGTAATGGCAGTTTGTAGATATACTATATATCATGGCAATAGCATGAAAATACGGCAAGTATGGGAATATGAAAATACTATGGAAATGTATGCAAAAATACAGTACTTTGTGAGCTTGAGCACAAACGATCAGTGTTCATCCTGAGAAAATGACCCATTTCCATAGCTGGCAAGGGTGATACTTTGGCCCAGTTTACTCAATTCCAGTCTAGACTTCAAACTATCATTGTACATTTACAGCTACCTATATCTGTAAGTAACGTCGGTTTGACTTAGTCAATTAGACATTTTCACTAGAAGTTCCAAAAGAAAATTAATTAAGAATTACGGCCTGTTTTAGATTTTAGATCTGCCCTTCAAAAGTAAGTTTGGAACTGAAAGAGACACCTTAACGCGGCCCTTTCGAACGAGCTAAACGCATTTAGATCTTTGACTGTAATTAATTATGTGCAGATTTGGCGAAATGGTTGCAGATGTGTTTCGAATCTCGTTCAGAACCCAACGATGTGTCATGTGTCTTCAAAAAGGTTGACATTAGATCACCAAATAACGTTACGGTCCTGTTTAACTTGCGGTGAAGACACATGCGGCACTTATGAAGGGGGTGGACAAGGGGGATTATTGGGAAAAGTTCAAAACCCGGCAAAAAAGTGGGCAGGTGCTGCGCTACCTTGAATAACGAGAAGTTGATTTTTGGAGGTAATAACTTCATTCAAAACTCGCGTGAAAATGCGAGAGATGCTATTCTGGATAACCAAGGAATTCAAAATTTCGCCGTTGAAGCATGTCCTCTGACGCACCTGAAGTGCGTTCTCGCACCATTTGTGTTCGTGTTCGAAATTTATTATGTTCGTTTTGCCTCCCTAGTCCCTTTCCATTCCTTCCAATTCTTCAACCTAGTTAAAGAAGCTGTAAACTCCTTTCTGCGCATCAGTTCTGCTCACAACAAAGGGAGACCCGCAGATATAAACATTGCCAAAATTTTGCATCTTTCTGATTTTTTTAATTGAAACGTAGAGTTTATATTCATTTACAAGCATAGCGAACCAGAAAATTACTTTACTATTTTACAAATATAGCAGTTCAAAATGTAAACAAAACGTTTGTTTACATTACGGACTTTACAGCATCTTTAATTGCTACCCAAATGGATTAAAATTGTTAAGTTATTTACATTAATAGTGTCCCAATGTTTTTAGGCCAACAACATATCATTGCAATGTCATGTAAGGTCATGTCAGTCAAACATCTCATCGAGTTTTAAGTTGGAAAAATTTAATCGCGAAAAGAAGATTCATTTATCAAATTATGGTTTTGGTGGAAAGTTTTTGTATTCAACAGCGATCCATATAACTCCAAATGCCCATGCAATCGCCAGGCCAAGACAATTGTACATCATTGGTATTTTGTCAAATGTTGCACCAGCTAATGGACGTGCAATAATTATGGCGAGATTTATTGTGGCAAATCCTAGACTTTGGTAAAACGCGGCACTCCTCGTTGGTGTTATTTTTGATAACAACGAACAGGCTAGGGTGAAGTTAATAAACTGAACACTTACAACAACCATGGAAATAAGGAGAAGGTAGGCGCCATTAACCGTGATTGCATTGTTCCACATAATAGCAAAATAAAACGTGATTGATATCGGGACGATTACTGAAACAATTGCGACAAAAAGACACTTCTTTTCAGCGATGTTGCCCAGGAAGAGATACAAAGCGATGCATAAAATGAGGACAACCAATGAACTGTTTAGGTAAATTAATTTCACGTGAGTGAGTTGCAGTCCAAGATGGTGTACAGCTAGCAATGGAGTGTAGAATGAAACCACATTGAAAACAATCATATGCAGAAGAACGAGATAATATATGCAACAGACACTCGAGAGAATGTAATTAGTATTGTCTTCTGTTTCAGAGGTCTCATCTCCATTACTTTGGTCGCTATCAGTGTCTGAATCGATCTGCTTTTCTTTCGAGTTTTCGCCCAAATTACTTGGCAAAAACATCGTTAGGATAAGTATAAAGAACCAGACAATAGCCAGTACAACTCCTGGTAAATTTCCAGGGTTGATTTCCCAACCAAGGATATTGACGTTGAATATGAGAAGGCTGCCGATCGTAGGCGCAAATATTGCACCAAGAAGATAAAGACCTTCAAAATATAGAAAAGCATTCATCCTGTTCTTTTTCGTTGTACATTCTGCAACGGCTCCGTAGAGAACACCTACTGCAGCTTTACCTGTTCCACTTATGAATCTTCCGAACAAAGGGAAGTATCCGTTGACAGGGATGGAATACAGTAAATTACCCAAGAACTTTGTTAGACCACACATGACAACGATTGTCTTCGAAACTTGAAATCTAATCGTCAAGATTCCGACACACAGGGAAAAAAGAAAGGATCCTATCTCGAAGGCAGCCAGAGTTATGCCAAGGAACACATGCGATTCCCCAAGGTACTCCATGTAATACCAAGCAGTTAGTTGTATAAGATATTCTTCCACGCCATCAACAAGGAGACGAATTGATAAACACACGAAAACCAGTTTATGCAGTGAAGTGAAATTTAGTTGGACTCGCTTGAAATGTCTAGAAAAAAGAAGATTATTAGCCACATGATATGGAAATATAATACTGAGCCAAAACAATATAATTGCCAGTAAATTTTGTATTCAAATCTAAACAGAAATATTCTAAAAGCAAATTGTCTTATAGCAGTATTTACAGGTAAATCTGAATATAAAAACTGCCCGCGATAAACTAGATATTCAGCGTGTTTCGCTACTACCCAAACGAGTTACATATCTGCTTTTCTCTATCTTTCTAAGATTACGTCTCACACTTGCTACATACTATTATGCATTACTGAAGCATGCGCATATTTGATTGTGATTGGCTAAAAATCTTGACACGACATTGCAAATTGACTTTAGGTGACGTAATCCGTGCTGCTCGCGCTAGAAATAAACAACATGGTAGCATTTACTAAAGCGTTCAATCTCATAGATCATAATATTCTTCTATCTGATTTGGAAAAGATAGGTGTAAGGCCTGCTTTATTGCCCTGGTTAGCGTCATATTGGTCTCAACGTCAACAAAAAGTCAAATTTGAGGGGAAGTTGTCACATTTCCGGAATATTAACGCTGGCTTACCGCAAGGGAGCAAGATCGGACCCTTTTCTTTTATTGCTAAGATCAATCGCCTACCGGACGTTGCAGTGACAGACAATTCAACTAATGCGGAACAGGTTTCGAAGTTTATAGATGATACCACGCTATCGGAACTGTTGAATGTGAACAATTATAGGTCAGATCAACCAATTGGGATTGTGGAACTTAATATCCAAAGGATATCGACCTATTGTGGTGAACAAAGAATAGTCTCAATGCGAAAAAAACAAAAGAAATGATTTTTGACTTTCGCGTTAGGAAAACTACAATTAAAAGTATGAAGATGTACGACTCAGAAGTAAGAAGTTGAAAGGGTCACTTCTTTTAAACTGTTAGGAACATGGCTTGACGACAATCTGAAATGGGACAGTAACAGTGAGCATATCGTAAAGAAAGCAAGGAAGCGTTTGTACTTTCTCAAATTGCTCAAAAGATATGGGGCGCCAACGCAGGATTTGCTACAATTCTATTTTAGTATAATTAGATCAACTCTGGAATATGGAGATGCGTTGTGGCATGGAGGTCTGACCAATGCTCAAAGTGCAAACATTGAAAGAGTAAAGAAAAGAGCATTCAGAAGAATATTACCTGGAGTGGAATATTTTGTAGCGTCAAACCATCTTAAGATGCAAATGCTGGGTGAAAGACGCGAGAATCATTGTATAGATTTGATTACAAATCTATGCAGCACTGCCAGCACATATTTCAATAACAGACATAAAAATATTCATGGCGAGAAATATGCAATGCAACACGCATGCGCAATGCACTTATTGATTTAAAAAGATTTAACTCAGGTTTGGAAAAAGAGAATGAAGATATCGTAGTCTATATAACACTTTCATTTTTAAAGTATATTAGTCATTTCAATCCGAAACAGATTGTGTACAACAACGTACATTGAAATATATTAAACAATATTTAGAAGGTGTCAAAATCGTTTCGGTTTTTAATATTTAAGTTTAGTCTGCAATATTTAAGTAAAGTCCGTAATGTAAACAAACGCACTCAGTGCTACAATTGTAAAATATGATTAGATATATATTACATTGAATTTTTAACACTCTTCTGGTTTGCTATGCTTGTAAATGAATACAGACTAGAGATTCAATATAAGAAAGTTTGGATGGTGCGAAATATTAATAGCATCCCAATGTTCGGGTCCCGACCATTGGAATGTAGGCCTGCGCAGAACGTATGCGCAGAACGCACTTTATATGGTCTTTAGATATTGCGAACGTAAAATTATATTGTTTTGTGTTGGCATTGGCCTTTATAGTTTTATTGCCAGACTGCCAGTTTTTATTTACTTGTAATTGTGGTTGTTAACACTTTCATATACATTATGGTGTGAAATTTATATACTTGCCATCATAGCGCAGCATTAATATATAAATGTAAACACAAGGCCAGAGAGAGTGGGGTAGATGAGGCCCACCTATATGTGGCCATGTGCCCTGTCCTGATGAGGTCTACTTTATTATTTTACTAGAAATACATGCATGCAGCAACCCCTCGCCTATATTATTATATTATTAGTAATCGTACTACTAGTGGAACAAGGAACTGGTCACCACGTTGATCCATCGTTTTAGAACTCAAATTTTTGCATTGTTTCAAAACCTTAATGTTGGTTCGGCTAAGCCTTCTTTACTAAGTATGTTGCTGATTATGCTGAAAAAATGAAAATGGCGGCCGTATAAACACTCGGTGTTAGCTTTATTACTTGTAAATAGTGAAATATTTCGGTTGTTTCGGCACTTTTTATTGAAATTTTTCAGCATAATAAGCAAGATGATACCTCACTAACCGCCAACCCCTGCCCGCATAAATTTAAAGCTGGAATTGCTTATCGAGGTTCTCAGCTCACTAATACCACGTCCATGTTGACACCGTCAGTTTATGAGAAATATCGTTTAAATCATCGTGACAAATTTCATGACGATCGGACTGAAAATGAAGGAGCCATAGGCTTTTTGCACAGTCCCTCTTCAGATTCTATTGCAATAATCAAATAAATCGATCGCGATGCAAAGTTTTTACCGTTTGTTTCTGTAAGACTGTTCGCGAGCTAAAATAACCTTTATAAATATTCAATTTAACGAATCACATGCGAGCAAGTCGTAGACCAGTGTCGCATAGACAACAGATACACACTCGATCGAACTAAATCATGACACAAACCTAATGTCTCAATCAATTCCATAGGTGCCCATCCCCCCGGGCGTTTGTCGGGCATTTTCAACTGTACTTGTTCCCAGGGTTGGGCTTCTGCTTTCTGTAGGTTAGCCTCGGGGTGGGGAATTTGATCAGGGCTAAAAAGAATATTTGTCGCTTGTTTCGCCATTTAGCCGTATTTTAGTACGCAACGCATGCACGTTTATTTACACGTCCGTGCGTATTGCGAATTAATCATGGCGGACATACACACTTTAGACTTTTTTCTTGTCCATACGGTTGATACATTGACATACTTGATCCGCAGTCTGGTATTGTTACGATCAAGTTTTCAGACTTCAATATTTTAATTAAAAACGTTTTGAAACGAAATGGCCACAGAATCGGCGATTTTAAATACTGATATATTGATACGAGATAGAGCCTGCGTTAGTTTTTTGTTCAAAAATTATCAGAAAACTTATATTTGGGGATTTTGTCGCATTATTTGGACCCCATGGTGGGGCACTTGCAACATTTTTCGCCAAAATGACAAATGCCCGACAAACGCCGGGGGGGGGGGACCCATGGAATTGATTTAGACATAACTCGCCCATGGAATTGATTTAGACATAACTCGCTGTACTTTATATACTTATGCCTGTGACGCACGCTGCGACACATTATGTTTATCATAAGTGCATAACATATCTGAGAACACTTCTATCTGTAGATTTGGGAAATTTGGCGAGTAAAATAATTTTCAGCGCCCTAGCTAGCTTCGCTAATGCAGGACAGGATTGCAAAATGTACGAATGCAGTCATGCATTCATTGACAAGCGATCGTTCAATATTTAAAAATTCCAGCAGCTAATTATTCACACCAATCGCTATATATATTCATTAAATTTCAATTTTGATTTGCAACACAGAAAGATAGATCGTCTAACTTAACCTCGAGATTGAAATTTGGCGACTAAAACAGTAATGTTTATCTTTGTGTGAGAGATGTCAAAGGATTACTGCATTAATTAAATACTTAATTGTAGTATGATATATTGGTAGCGTCTCATCTAATCTATTGTCATATTGAATAATATAGTTGAAGGTTTTGTAGATGGAAATTATGGAGTGTAAATTTTATATACATTTATTAGACCAGTTTTAAAAACTATGCGTCCTCTGGCAGGAATCGTTTTCACAGCTGTGCCTGTTTGGATCCGATAAATTGTATATATTATATAAATTTACACTCGATAATTTCCATTGATATTTCTGCCGGCGGAATATATACAGGGCATATATCACTGTGAATGTTTATATCATTATAGTGGTTAATTATAGAACCACAATATAAATATATGATTTAAACTTTCACAGTGAAGTAGCGATATATCCACATGTTTTAACGTTGTATCCTATGATACAACGAAGTGATTAGACGATAAACATCATACATTGCTGAAGAGTGAAG